TTCAATTGTCCTCCATAATTCACTCAATTTCTTGCAGCTATTATTTCAAAACATAAATAAAATATTTCTTATTCTGACTAAAGTATTACTGGCCAGTTTAAAATTTACTACTTTTCAGTACCAGCAGCCAGTTCACAACTACAAGTCCCACGAGTTACGAGCGCTCTATCTATTATTAGCAAGAGAAAAACAGCCCAAGCTTCTCGTCCTGCGTACTTCATCCTTTCTTACCAAATAAATTCCATTCAGTATCCTTAAGAGGTACCTATACTACAATAGACCTGATTCCTCATTTACCTTTTGTCCACGCCCTTGCAGAACTAAACCGATACAGCTCCCTCCAATACAATTTCAGACACACGTCGACACCTGAGACCAGCAGTTGGTTACCTGTCGCGACCATACGCGAAACGGCACTTATTACAGTAAGTGACCGACGGGATTATGTTTCCTGAGAGGACGCTCTCGGAGGAGCATACTACCTGGGTCAAACCACCGGTGGGATAGGTATAAATAGGGAGTGACAGTCAGCTAATTTTAGTGTGTTTTTCATTACAATCAAATCTAATTAATTGCCGGCGATTTTCCAAAAAGCTTTCCCTTGTAATGTGCCCATAGGCACTTAGTAGTGTGCTCATTACGTTTTCTCTGTAAAAGATTCTTTACTTATTATATTACCTCATCGTGTATAATAGGATTTGAATCGCTTCAAGTAATTTCTCATACTTGTTGTATAATCTAGTTTGCGAGTAATAAACTAGTTAGTAATAGGGGTAATATCGCACGCGTAGTAATTGAACATCTCCTCCTGTATGTAGGTTTAGGTAGGTATACTACAACTGAGTAGCAATCTTCCTAAACACGGATATTGGCATCTACCCAAGACGAGTCGGTTCATAGACGGCTTAGGACTGGAAAGTCTTAAGCAAGGAGTATCAAAGTAGCTATAGGTTGGTGCTGTAGGTTCAAGGACTTGGTTGAGCTTACAGTAGAGAGAGTAGTAGAAGGGTCCCATAGGACACTGTAGGAGAGAAGCTGGCGAGGGCAACTCCTCAACCTTTAGAGTTCTGTCTGCAGTCACGACATTAGCGTCAAAACGCCGGTGGAAGGGTGGAGACCTGACGACCTCAGAAGGATCTATGAACGTCTATCACTACACAATCAGAAGCAGAACTGACTTGCAAACATCATCACCGGCCGGGGCAGAACCCACAACATGCCAGCTTGAACCAACAACACAACCACTCCACCACCCAACCTCTAACTTTCCAGCGTGACCAGCAATGTAAACCTAAAACCACCCGACACCTGCACCACTCCAAGCAAAGATCAACTCCCTAACAAAAAGATTTTGGAGCCGCTCCAAATGCGACTTAAAACTTTCCTGCTAAAAGTTGTAGCCATAAGTGGGAACAGAGGTCAAATGCACTATTTTCATCTTTAACTACCACCAAACTAGGAAAAGCGGTAACGAGTATGAAACAATGTGACGGGAGAAAAACACTGATCAGAGAATTCCAGTCATTAAATTCTGTGTAGTAATCAAGAAGACACAAGATTAAATCCAAAAATTACATCAAAGACTTCTGTAAAGAAATTTCTAGTTGTCGGCTTCTACGCTATGCCAGTATTTACTAGAGTGAAAATCACAGATGAAACAGCGGCACGATTGTTGTCATTAATAGTAAAGCTAGAGAAGTGAGCGACTGAAAGATAAATAAAAAATCAAGTGAAAACACAAAGTAATTAGGTAAAAGCTGACAATGATGATTCCTTGTTCTTGGCACAGCTTTATAATCGACAAATGCAAATTTAAAAAACAAAAGAAACACCCGAGAAACTTCCTGCCATACTTGGCAAGAGAATTACATGATTTTCACAATAAAAATGCCACGATTTCAAGTTTAAAAACCAATTTGGTGACTTCATAGCTAGGTAATGAGTATAAATGTGTATAAATCTCAAGCTAGCTTCCTAAAATGAAATAATTAGCATAATTTACAATATATGACAAAGAAATAATGAGAAGACTTGTTGAAGGTTCAGGAATCACGAATATATGATATGTACAAGCATACAAGTTCTATATCAAACACACATTCAGAAAGAAAAACAAGGAATGATCAAGAAAATGCGTGAAGATTTGCAATCGCTCTTGCCGTCGCTAACCTTACGTTAAGGTCGTGATCTTTTAACAGCAATAGTAATCCTGAAAAAAAACATTAACTAGAGACTAGAAGCTCAAAAAACATAACATTAAGAGATTACCGGAGAAAATGAGTTCTTTCGATATTGTGCTTCTCAGCTGCGGTGTTAATTCACCGAGAAGGAATCCTGTCATATGCGCCGCATTTGCACGAATAAAGGATGAACTGCTTTTAAAATAATTATTGCAGTTAAGCGCAAAATAATTGATCCGGTCAGAAAAAGAAAAGGCCTAAATTAACAAATAAAACCAAAAATTTTCCAAACTGAACGTTAATATACTGCCTAAAAACCCACCAAAATTACACAGAATTCCTTAAGAAAGCTCAAGTAATCCTGACAATGCTCAGTTTTTCCGATGCTCTGATCAATTAATGTATCAAGAGCATCGGAATCCAAGAAGGGTATAACCTGAGTTAAACATCGCGCACACATCTGAAAAAGGTTAAAATCAGCCAATGAAAAACAAAAAAATTCCACTTTATTCTGACTTGCTTAACATAGTCCTCCTCGTCGTTCAAATGAAGCAGAATCGACACTATATTAGCAACAAGCTGCTCCTTAAAAGTTGCGCAGCTCCCAACGCGACTTCCAAGCTCGCCAAATAAACTAAATGATACTGCACGAAGCGCGCTACTTTCCTGAATATACCAAAAGTTCTAACGTATTTAAGATTGAAGTAAATGCACACAAAATATCTGAGAGTAGTCTGAATAAAATAATAGCTCATCTATTATCACTAGAAAATAAACTAAAAAACCCATACTTTCGAAAACTTATTAATTTCAGGTAGAAGAGACGTCTAAAAGCTTTTTGTAGGATGAGAAATATTATGAATTTTACACAACAAGTGAAACAAAAAAGCAATATGACTCAGTGCTGAAGACTGAGTAAAGCATCCATACTTTTTCAAAACAAGGACGTAGTTTCAAAAGAACGTTAGACAAAATAGAATTTAAATGTTCATCGTCAACACGACTGGCAAGCTTGTTCAAGGCATTCAGCGATTCCATTGCTACCTAAATTTGCAGTTATTAATTATTAAAGTTTAACAAGTCAATATCATCAAAACCTGAACATATCAGAGAACCTGCCTCATCTCTACGGTCTCCACTATCATCTAATCCTCGCATTGAAGCCTGAATTGCACGCTCTGAATATTTTTTAAGGTTCTCTGAAGAGCACGCTGCAAGATCCCCAAGCCCACGTACTGCTATCTATATTGGTAAATCTATACCAGATATAAATTTTGATGAAAAATGCTAACAGCCTAAACTATATGTTTTAGTTGTCAAAAAAAAAGACCAGACAACATGATGCGAAGAAACGTTTATTTACTTTGCGAATCCTCAAATTCTTGTCATCAAGGCTTCTCATCAGCAAGTCGACCAATGAATCAAGCGTTCTACAGTCATCAGAAACACTATCTTCTGCGTATCTGAAATATCAACAAAAAACCGTAAAGAGGTAAGAAAGCTAAAAAGAAAAAAAATCTATTTTTTAAAAAAAACCAAATAACTTTTTAACTAGAGATGAGAAGACAGCTGCTGATGCAACCCGGAAAGCGTCACTAGCGGTAAAATTTCGAGAGGCTAATTGAAGAAGTAAGGGATCGACCCACTCCGACCTATGTTGACTTATTGAACGAATTAGGACCACAATCTATTAAAACCACAACAGTTCAATAGCAATTTGGAATAACATATATTGAAGTAAACTAAGAAATAAATTTCTGGCATCCGTTAAAACGTTATAAATTAATTATAATAATTTTTGAAAAACGCTAGCAATTTCTCTACTCCTCAGCTTACAAACTGAATTCAAAAGCATAACCGTAAGGAGTACCCCAGTGGTGAAATGGACTGGATCGCAACAATCAGTCCACGCCCGCTGTGAATTCATTTCCTCAATGACGACTTCGTCGTGAGTACGCGTCAAAAGACCACGAAGTGCATCTGTTACGAGAGTCGCAGGAGAAGTAGAAAGCCGTTTAAGTTCTGGCGTGATAATCAAAGGTGGTTTTATGCCTGAAAATTCCTAGTAAAATAAGAAGATACGTAACGAGCTGATAGAACAATACAACTACAGCCAGGCATAACAAAATATCATTAGAAAATACCATCCTTTGCCTCCCTCTGCATTATAGGATACTGTGTGTCAACCACACCAGCCAAAAGAACAAGAAGAGTTGCCAGTAAATTAGGAACCCGTTTTGTAAACTCCGCCTCTGTTTCGCCAGCCTAAAATAACGGAAAATATATAGCTACAAGAAAAAAAATCAAACAGACCTAGATTCAACCCAATTAACACCACATCTCTTGTCAAAAGCACTAAAACATCAAATGCGAGAACTGGCCAATTTTAGTATTTCCAAAATAAAAGTGGTAAGAAACTGATCAATAAAATAAATCAGAGAAGAAAAAAAACGAAAAAAAATTGTGGTAAATTCCAAAAGAAACAGTTAGCTTAACTTAATCAACTCCGTCGTTGCAGCAACCAATGCACAAACATGCGGTTTCACAATTTTCATAGATGAGCCTCCACCAGCATCGAACAGTTCAAATGGCAAATCCCCTGCTATGCCGCAACTCGTTATCATCATTTCCAGCAAATAATCGGCCACTTGTGGGAAAAGTGAATGTTCGCATGCTAAAGTTCGCCAGGCATCTGTCACATGCCTAAACTACCAGAAAGGTAAGATGAAAAATACTAAAAATCTTTTAAACGTTGTGACTGCACTGGGAAATGTTTGAATTACGAATAGAATGATCTCCTAAAGAGCCACTTAGGTAAAAATCCGCAAAGAGGTCCACAGTAGTAACAAAGACAAAATAATTTAACCCAAATAATCATAAAAAGTTGCAGAACCTAAAATAGAATTTTGAAGTCAATAATAAACTCACTCAGAAAAAGGAAGCATTTGCAGCAATAAAACATCAATGCATATATAAAGTTGACGGGAAGCAAAAGCAATGAGTGCAGCCAGAAGATCAGTGTATGTCTGAAGGCAGGCATGAACCTCCGAAAGTTTCGCCAGTATCGTTAACACTAGAGTTTCAGCCTTCAATTTTACGAGATTAATAGAACGACAATGATAATTTTAATAATAATAATAATGTTAACAATAATGAAAAAAATAATTTGATGATTAAAAAAAATGAAGATCATGGTGACAAAAAAATGGAAATATAAGTCAAATATATTTCAAAAAAATTATCTATTAATCACCTCACAACTTAAAGTTTCTCCTCTCTGCGTGAGAGCATAAGTAAGCAACTGAGCTGCAGCAGAACTGACTTGACTTTGACGATCACTCAACATATCAAACAAGCCTGACAAATACGTCTGCATCTGCGACTGGGGTAGACGGGCATCAATTACCTTAAGTTATGAATTACTGTGTAGTAACCAAAAAAACTTAGGTTATCTGTTAGACTGACAAATGTTAAACAAAAACAACACAAAATTTTCAAAATAAAGTGTAATTTACAGCCGACATAGCTTGAATGGCTTTTCTAGATGCTTGTCCGTCCAGTCTTCCTTCTTCCCCGAGATATTCTCGAATGAATAAATCTGGGTCAAATAAATTCGTATCAATAGTCTCTCGAGCAAAACCTACAAAATACTAAAAAGATTTAAAAAAAGTAGATAATATAAACTTTTACACAGAATGGTTCCCTTGATAATAGTAAAGCATTATATTTAGCGAGTATGAAATCTAATAAAAGATTAACTTTGTTCTTGAGCCTTAAACCAAAATCTAAAAAAAGGTGTAAGCAAATAATCTATTTAAACGCACCACCTCTATATATAAATGCAAGTCGAAAAGTCCAGTGAACAACGCGTAAAGCTGAGTAGCGAATGGAGCAAAGTGTATCAGTGATTCTCGGAACAAGACGAGCTAACAAAGATGACATTGGTCCAAAATCACAAGCAACCTATGAAGTTCCAACAGTTTATATTACAATGACCGGTAAAGAGAACCAAAAGCTTTAAGTACTGAGCAACAACAAACTTCTGGCTTACCCCAAGAACAAAGTCAGTGCCATAATCGAAATATGCTTTCAAAACTAGAATGCTAGCTTTGACAGCACGAGCACGTTCATGATCAGCCAGTGACGGATAATACGGTTGAAACAGCTAAAAATCAATAATCCATTTCAAGCAATGTATTAGACATCAATTCAAGCGCAAAACATCAGTAAAACCTTCAGCAGCTGCGTGACAATGTTTACGGTCGCATTTTTCTTTACCATCTGTTCAACAGCATCATAATACTGGCGAAGTGTGGCTTCTATCATCGTAGAACTGCCATCGTTATCAATCTGAAAGCCAAACAAACGTTGCCCTCAAGCCGTTGGCGAGTATTCAAAAAAAAAAAAAAAAAAAAAAAAAAAA